AAACGCGTCGCAGCGTCTTAGCGTAGCAGCTCGCATAACTGACCTGCCCCACGTGCCGAACGAAGAGCGTCGCTCTTAAGTCCTGTGAGCTCTTCACGCTCTTTGCTGGCGCACACCCCCAGGAGTTCTCTGTCGCTGCTCAGCCAAGCGGATGCATTGCAGAATGCCGGCTAAATTGAAGCTTTCCGTTTACTTCCGCTGCTGGCGCCAGCAGCAGTTGCTGTCGCAGTCGCGGCCGCGTCCGCTGCAAACGTCACACAAACAAGCACACCCGCTCCGTCGCGTTGAATGCTTGTTATTTTTGCCATCAAGTAGATTAATTTATTAATATATATATTTTTTTTTTTATAAAAATTATTATTTTTAATTATAAGCTGTTCATTTAACATATGATTTATTTGCCGCTCGCTGCGCTGCCAATACGGGGGAATTCCTTTGTTGTAACCGACGCTGACGGCGCAGTCGAAGCTGGCATCGTCGCCGCTGTCGCAGTCGCTGACTTGTTGATGAGCAACCAGCGCCAAGTGCGGCGCATCTAACGGCACTCGTATTGCAACTACAATGCAAATGAGAGTTCGTCTGGCACGCTCTTTCTCTCTCTCCCTCTCTTTTCCTTCTTTCTCTCGCTCGTTCGCCTGCTCGTGCGCGCTGTGTAACTTTTTACTGCAGGCGACGTCGGCGCCTCGTGCAAAGTTTACTATGCCAATGCACTCAACGGTACGTTGTCGTCGTCGTCGTCGTCGTCGTCGTCGTCATCGTCATCGTCTGGCGCCCATTGCTCGGTTTCGGCACTTGGCAATGCAGCAACAATAGCAGCAGCAGCAGCAGCAGCAACATCAGTTGCAGTGGCAGCGCGCCGACGCAGCATAGTACTCTCTCTCTTTCTCTCTCTCTCTTTTGCTCTCATTGATTGGCAGCGCGGTTGTTCGTTTGTCAGCGCTGCGGCCCACCTTCACCTTCACCAGCAGTCGTCGTCGCTGCCAGTGCTGCATCTGCTGCCGCCTCGGCTGCGTTTGCTTGCACACAGCAGTTCTCGTTGGGCAAGTCCCCGTCTAGTTGGCATTCAGTCGAAACGCAACATTCGCCAGCTGCGGTTGCCCAGCGGCGACAAGTGCAGTTCAACCAGTTCAGTTCAGCGCAGCAGCACTCGCAGCCGCAGTAGCAGCCGCAGCGACAGCAGCAGCAGCAGTAACAGCAGCCACAGCCACAGTCACAGTCGCCATCGAACTTTGCTGGCAGTCGCTTTTGACCGCTCAGCCGCAACGGTCGACTGTTGGGCAGAGCTGCGTTGCGTTCATATTGCGAAACGCTGCGCAAACGCACGTTCCCTCTAACGGTACTAACACACATATGCAGTTAGACATTCGTCAAGTGTTGCCAATGCAGCTTAAACATAATGTTGACAAACGAAAACATTTTTCAAATATTTGGTGATCTGCAAAACAAAAAGAAACGAATTCACTTATGTATTAATAAATACTGTTCAAAAAGAAAATATATTCATATTTGAATATATATATATGAATAGCTGACAGCTCGCCGTGTAACGCGAGGTTTTGTTATCAATTCGCCGTAAACTCATTTTCCATTTCTACGTCGCGTCGTTTATGCCATATAAACAAAATACATAACGAAATGATAGACTGGAAAACAACAAAATAATAATAAAAAAAATTAAATTAAAATCAAAAACAACAACAACCAATCAAAAACAGAGAGGGAGAGAGAGAAAAATGCAATCGCTGGAAATTCCTGAATGTAATACACTTTATATGGAAGGGCCGCCGACAGGTGAGTGCAATTAATATGATATTTGCATTGAATATGATATATGATATATACATATATTTATGTATATACATATATGTATGTATGCATTTGTGTGTAAACGTATATGCATATGATATGATATGTATATCAGCGAGATATGAGCCAGTGAATGGGCGCAGCAAATAGACTGATTGAAAGTTGTAGACGGGTGTAATCTAAGGGGTTTTATCGAGAATTCATATCTGTATGAAGCGTAGTAAATGAATAAATAAACGAAAGATGTGGTATATTGAATGGAATCGAATAGTAGGTATGGAAGAATAATAATAATAGATTGCAGGGTAGGCTAAACCTGAATTAAAATAATAATTAACCTCTTAATTTAAAATAAAAAACAACGATCTCATTATATCAATACAATATGTGTTGAGAATAAATATAATGAAATAGGTTTACTGATAAATAATATTATTTATATAGTAATAAGTTTCCAAGCCAATTAGCCTATTTCACTTTCCGGAGTATCCTTGATCATATATAATAAATAATTGTGATATAAATATATGTAAGTCAGTTAGTATATGAATACCATTTTCCGAAAATTACTTAAGATTAGAGATTTCGAGAAGTAAGTTTGCAGAGCTGAATATTATAAGATCTCTCTAATATACAAATACTCTTTGAAGATTCTTCTGCAATCTCTTTTCGCAATATCCACTTTGAGGTCAGAGAATGAAGTAAGCTAGAAATTTGTTTCTGCCTGATCATTTAGTACGTTTCTTCGCCTATTGTTCGGGTCTAATAATAAATGGTGTTAAATAGTTTGGCTTTACGGGTAGCTCAGATTCTGATGAGCGTTCCAGCCCCGCATTGCCCCTCTAGTAGCCTCTGCTAATAACCCCCTTCGAGCACGATGATTTGCACCTTTTGGCAAGTCGAAACTAATTTTGAGTTCTTTCCTCCAACTTTTCTTTTTGCCACACTCTTATCAGTGCAAACAGACAATTTAAGAGATAGAGAGAAGAGCATGGGGAAGAGAGTGAGCGAGAGTATGTTGTGGGTCGGGAGCGGGATCGGATGGCGGTCAGGGGCGTAGTGCGAGCGGCTCTTATCAGCGTCTGCCTGCAAAATGACAATTTTATTTGGCGCGCATTTCGCTGCCTACCCCCGCCAGGGCCCCCATTGACCCAGCTACCCCCGCTCCTGGGTCGCTTTTCGCGCAATTGCATTTGCTGATAAGCAAATTAGCTTGCCAACTGGCCTAATAATTGAGTTTGCGGGAGGAGTCAGGTACATGTGTAAAGTAAATGAGAGTATAAGTGTGTGTGTGTGTGTGTGTGTGTGTGTGTGTGTGTGTGTGGTGGGGGCGTTAACCAGTCGAGCAAACTTCTAAGTAGCCGCCGATTGAGCAAAGCTTTTTTTCGCCAAAAGCGGTTCTCACATTTGTCATGGAAGAACGAGAAGGGGGGGGGAGGTTATGAAAGGGGGAGTTCATAATAAAGAAAAGTGGCCGCAAAGAGTGCTTAAAAAATGGAAATAGACGAGTGTGCCAAGAGCAGAGCGGAGGCTGGGCAGGGTCGCAGGTGAACACACAAAAAAAAAAAGAGTCGACGCTGAACGGCAAGAAGAAAATGAAATAGAAACATGAGAGCAAAAAAATGAACTAAAGAATTTCTACTTATAACGAGTTTTTATTACAAACGCGCGAAAGCGGCACAAAAAAATAATAAAATAAAATAAGAGAAAGAAGCAGTCCGCAAACCGTTAGCCGAAAATGTATTAAAAAAGAAGTAAAAATAAGTAAGCAAAAAAAAAAAAAAAAAAAAACACAGACCGAATCTAACGAAATTCCAAAAGGAGTGCATGGTCCAAAGGGAAGAGCGAGGGAGGGACGGGAGTAGACAGGGTGGGAGAGTGCACATAAAAAGTAACAGCATTTTTGCCTAGCAGACAAATGCACAGACAGACGCAGAGACGGACGAACTGGCAGATGAAGAACAAGACTGCGAAAGCATGAAGCAACATTATTCAAAAGAAAGCCAAGTTAAGGCATACCGAGCACACACACACACACACACACACACTCAAAGAGAGAGACAGACTGAGAGAGAGAGAAGAGAAAGAGGCGAAGAGAGCGCAGACAGACAAAAGCAGCATAATGCAGCAGAGAAGTGCATGAGACAGGCACAGTTACAACAACAATGGCGGATCGCAGTTAGCATTAAACATCAAAGTAGCAGCAGCAGCAGCAGCGACAGTGGCAGTGGCAGCGACAGCGACAGCGGCGCCGACAGTAACGGCGACGCCAGCAGCGAATGTAAACGCTACAACAACAAACACATGCCGACATTCTTTCATTCGTACAACGACCTCGACTTTGATTTGCAGTTAAACGGCCAGAGCCAAGTAATTTTCGCAAGCGTGAGAGAATTATTTTTGCGAGAGAGCAAGAAGCAAGGCAAACAGATGTCAGCCCCAAACGGCCTCTAGACGACCTACACGCGTGAGCGAGAGCGCGCGTGAGAGAGCGGCGAATGTGCGCTCGGCTCGAGTCGGCTTTCGTATGGCGTCGGAGCGCCATCGTGTTTTGGCATTCGTGTCTCGTCGCTGCTTCTGCTGCCTCTGCTCCCGTTGTCGGTGGTAGCGACAGCGGCAGAGGCTGCGGTATGCTATGCCAAGTCGCTTATTCGTCAACTCCATTCATTCGTATTGCGCGTCTCGTCTGTGCCGGTCGTCCAGAGCTGCTCAGGTCTTGCAGATTGTGCTTCATTTGTCATCAAACACACAGACACTCACGCACACGCAGCCACAGACACTTCATACAATCATACAGTTAGGTAGACAGTGTTCAGCAACAAAGACAAAACAGTGCTTTAAGTGCCGAAGTGAACATTCGCAGCAATCAAATCGAATACAACACAAAAAGCAAACGCGTTATTCATGCAAATAAAATAAAATAAACTCAAATCAAATCAAATAATACAAAATAAACTTGACTATCGCCAGACACAGACACACGCATACACACAAATGTGAAGAGACAACAAAACAGCAGCAGGCCGGCCAGACAACTCACAAACACATAAACTCATACAGCTAGCAGTTAGCAGCTACAGTTATCAAATGCGGCCGCCGCCGGCCTGTCAACTTGTCCAGACAGCGAGAGCGAGAGCGAGAAAGAACGACACAGAGCGGGAGAGATGGGGTAGAGAGAGAGCGACAGCGAGAGTGTGTGGGCTAGAGCGAGCGAGCGAGAGCGGGCCTATAAATTTCATATGTGCAATGTTTGTGCCTGGCTGCTGTGCTGTGCGTTGTATCAGCTAACCGGATGTTGATTTGTTGGCCGCAACAAACACAAAACATGGTCCAAGCCAAGCAGCAGCCATCTTAACACTCACACCCATATCCACCAACACACACACACACACATAGAGAGAGAGACACACGCACACCCTCGCTGGTACATTTGCAACACTGGCGCTGCCTTTAAGCACGATGAAAAAGAATGCAAAATGATGCTAGATAAAAGACTTGCAACACGCTTGAATGAGGCCAGAAAACAAAGCCAGACAAGAGTGCATATTCACATACTCCCTATACACTCCTTATATACTCTCTCTCTTTCTCTCTCTCTCTCTTTATCTACTCTATATTCTATATATAGGCAGCCATGGAACGGACAAGCACAGCTTTAAATAGGTAAGCAAGAGAGTTAAGCTTACTACATTCTTAAAAGTCCAACAAAAAGGGGAGGTAATGAATTTTGGAAGAATTGGTTCTACTTGAAATTATTGCAGCTATTTAGAGGTGTGGATCAACCAGAAAATATTTTAAGCTATTTTTAATTATAGCTTTAAAATGAATTATAAAGGTTTACATTATAAGAATCTAAAACAATTTTATATTATTTATGTCTGGTAAAAATTTAATAATTCACTTTAATATGATTTAAAATATGATGTTCTCTGCTAAATGAATCTAGAATCCATTGTTGAGTATTGAATTGAGTAAAGTCTATAAATTTTTACTTTATTTATATAAGTTAAGTTTCAAGTAAATCTATTCTTAAGACGAACATCAATGGTAAAATATATATTGCTATATAAGATATTTTTTATGAACTGAATTGCTATATTCCAAATTTATGAGGTAAGCTCTGTGTCAGCTTTAAATTTAAGTAGGATTGAGGCTTTATACAAATATTATAATTTAGGAATGCCGCACGAGTTAAAACTCTACTTCACTATTTATTATTTCACTTATTAGTCGAGGAATTTCTCAAATCTGTTAGAACTTGTTCTAAGCTGTCACCAATTAACACGTTATTATTTCGAAATTCGCATACTTGTGCTACATAGTTAAGTGTAGATATACGATCTCTCTCTCTCTCTCGCTACCTATATATTTACATAAATTCCAATTCCCAAAAACCAATTAGACTATCAAATGCGCTTTCGAATCAAGCTGAAAGTGGTTGCTTGTTTGCCGTTTAACAGAGGCAACTAAAAAGGGGGCACGTTTGCACACACACACACATACACACACACACACACACGAGCACAGACACATACACTTACAGTTACACCACAGACCCCTCCCCCTGCGCTGCTCTCTCGTTTAACGGGGCGTGCCCCAGAAGCGTGCTAATAAAACATTTAATTAAAACATTAAGCGACGTCACATAATTAAACTGTAGCACCTGAACGAGCCAGTCGAGCGGGCGAGCGAGAGAGAGCGACCTAACCCGGCCGAGCTGTCTGCCAAGTTGCACACACACACACACACACAGAGCTAAACACCCATGTACAGTTAGGTTTTCGACAATTGTAGTAAAAGTTTATCGCCCGCATTTAAAAAACCATGGATTAAAATTCTACTTGAAATGTGCAGAAGAAAAGAATGAAACAGAGAGGGGAGAAACAAGAATAAAACTTTTTTGCTACAATTTTATGCAACATGTTTTCTAACGTGTGTGTGTGTGTGTGTGTGTGTGTGTGGGGCACCCACATTTTGTGCCGGGTAATCCCAACACCAACCCCAACCTCGTTGCAATAAAGATAAGCGTCGCAGTTAGCAGCTAGATACCTGCATTGCTCGTGTGCCAGTGTTGGTTAACGAATGTTGTCCACTAATTGCAGCGCCAAACAGTTTGTAAGCCTGACTATTTTGGCTGCCATTAAGAGGGGGCGGTACTGGGTGGGCGTGGCTGCCGGTGCCAGACATTCAGACAATTTCATAGAAAATGCATGAGCACGAAAGCAATTCAATAGCCGAAAAATAGCTAGGCCAGAGGCGTGGCCAACGAGGGGCGGATAGGCCACACTGTACTTGTCGCTTTTACAAACAAAAAAAAAAAAAAAAAAATGGAAAAA